CCAATAGTAATTGCATGAGAGTTTGAAGTGCTTTTCAAAAGGAAGTCTACTTTTCTTAGACTAGAGCTAAACCCAGCACCCTCCCCCTGCAAAAAAGTATGTAAGGCATTTCAATTCATAATAAAAAGAATGACACATTCAATGAACTTAAATTGAGTCTGAAATTTCACACCCCAACACACATACTCTCACTCCTCAAATCCACACACGTTTATTTAATAAGTAACAAGCAACTGAGTATGTGCTTGCTAAAGTTAAGGATAATGAAACATTCAGGTTTTATTTCTTTCTGTTTTACTTATGTAACACTTCACTTTTTGAACTCTACGTGCGTTCCCAGTCCATGTCTCCCCCCATACATTTGAGGGCCTCTTTATTTGTCTGAATTTCTTGCAGTGTACTTGCCAATGATAAAACTGTTGCTGTCTTCCAGACCTACCTGTGGGAAATGACCAGCGGCGTGGAGGAAATCCCCCCTGGGATCCTCAATAAAGAGCACATCATCTTTGGCAACATCCAGGAGATCTACGATTTTCATAACAAGTAGGTTGGTGGTGGTGGTGGGGTGTTCAGCGGAGCACTCCTGGGGCCACAAATACCAGACCACAAGCTTCCCAACAAATAGATCAAGGCCATTGACAAATCTTACTTGATACAGTCCTACCTGGTTAGTTCTCTAAGGCAGTTGCTGTCAGACTTCTTTCTCACTAACCTTTTCTTCTCAGTTGTCCAAACTTTCTAGAACAGAGTGAAGACAGGTGTCCAGTACTGCCCCTCCACAGTTATCCTCAGGGTCCTAGCAGGTAGCATTCTCATCTGCCCAATCAGAATAGTTACCATGCTTTGAAGGAACAAAAATAGCTTATCCTTTTACACCTGTGGGAATCCTCACATTAGAACTCACCTGAGGCTAATCATTCAACATCATGGGTTTTCAAATTTCACTGATGTTTTATTTCAACCTAAATATTTCCCCATCCACAATTATTCCATCATCCCTTACCCCCAAACAAACAACAACAGAAATAATCAAAATACAAGTACAACACATTTCTTGACAATATATAGGGCAAAGCATCAATCAACACTGTATGTTTTGTTGAAAAAAAACCAAACATACAGTGTAGAATCATGGAGACCTTAAGCCTCACAGCCCATTTTTCCAGCTCCCAGCTTGTTGTGAGAATCTTTTCCAGGGCATACTAATCATGTATGGTGTAAACAGAGGGTCAGCGGGAACATGAGTATGATTAGTTATATGACCAATCAATGGAAATAACTGTTTCCAGAATGCTAGTAGAGAAGATATTAAAACACAGGAAGAATACGGACATGAAGTTTTCTAGCTCTCAGGAGCCTGCTGTAGAGAAGGCTGAGTCAGGCTAGTTAGGGATTTACTGAGCTAAGGTGTCGATGCTGGAGAGAGAACTGCCAGCTCCAAGAGTTTCTGAGGAGGCTGTGTATACAGATGGAGAGCTGTGTCGGGGCAGGACTAGCAGCACTGTCCAGTGGAGATTTCTGTGGTGATGGACATGTTCCACATCTACACTGTCCAACATGGTAGCCACTAGATATGAGTGGCTATTATAAGGAACTGAGTAATTTTATATAATAATAAATTTAATTTTTAATGCCACAAGTGGAAAGTAATTACCATACTGGATAGTCCAGTTCTGGAAAATGAAACCTCAATATGGCTTTGTGCCAAGAATGACCAAGAGGCCAGTGAGCGTTGGGTGCTTAAGGATCCTGGGTTCTGAAAATTCTAAATAAAGATAGGGAGTCACTCCCCTCATGATAAATGATCCCTGTTATGTCATCAAATGGCATCAGTTTAAAGAAACATAAATACGTAGCTCCTGTGACATGCTAACCTTGTCAGATTATTAAAGCAGGAAGCTCTATATGGGGGGAAAAAAACCTTTTGACTTTCCAGAATACTTGATAAAAGTTCCCAGATTTTTTGAATCATAAACTTTAACACTTCCCATTTAGCTTATCTGGAAATCTCCAGACACAGAAGTTTTCTGTCCTCATTCCTATCATTAATGCGATCCCAATAACTTCATTCTTGATCATTGATCCCAAATTCCATCATCTGAGCCCAGCTCAGTATCACCCCATTTCCCCCAAAATATCTGAGAAGACATCAGACTGGCACACGGTAAGTCATGTTATTTTGTCTGACTGATGGTCTCTAGGATTTAATCAACAAGTCTTACTTTCCCCATGATCTTCCCAAATGGACCAGGTCTAGAAGTCTCAGGATCACAACATGCACTTCCTGTGAGCCCTGCTTTTGCCAAATCACTTTATTGGGGATGAAAATATTCATTTCAAAATTGAACAATTATAACAAAATATTTAGCAGCACTATGCCTCTTATTCTAGTTTAATGATATTACTCTATTTATCCATGGTAAACAATTTTGTAGTTTTTTTATAGCTAAAAAATCTACCTCCCAGTTACAAAATACAATGCTAAGAAATCCTTTATAAATCAAACCATATAGAATATTGTATTCTGTAAAAGAAGAATCAGTAAAACTATCAACTACACAGTTACCAAGCACATGTTACCTATTTAGAAAATTATGAAGAGACATAAAGGAAATGAAAACCATACTTGGAGCAACAAAAAGAAATGTCACAAAGATTAAGTTTTTGTCTTTTCATAGAAGCCCTTCTCTATCAGCCATTTTCCCTCTGGACTATGTAGTTTGCAAACCCACAATAATTTGGAAACAACAAATACTTTAGAGAATCAAGAACTTGAGCAAATAGTTCAATGGTCAGCATAAAGTAAGATCAGCAGGAAAGACAACAAATAAATGGCAAAAAAAAAAGGCAATAAAACAACAACAACAAAAAAAAAAAATACCCATAGTGGTCATGGGTTGCTGGGTATTGCTGCAAAAGCATCCTTTATCTCATAAAGTCCAACACAACCAGTCTATTACAGTGTGGCATAATAACTGATATTAGTAATAACCCTGAATCATTAGTATGTTCTGCATTTTAAAGCAAGAAACTCTATAATGTATTTAGAAAGCTATCAACCAAAAGAAACTAATGTTTTAAATTATCCACAATTCAAGGGAACATCTGAGGATCTCACTCTGTATATTAATTTCCTTTGTTATCTGGGGATTCAGGATTTACTGTACTCCTAGTGTATGCTTTCTACTTAAGCCAGGCAGATTTTGATTAATGGAGAACATATGACACTCTAAAATTGTTAATAAATAAAAGATAAAATGCCAGTTGGCCCAACTTAAAAAATCTAAGGGTTGTCAACTCCTTTAGAGACCATGTCTTTCACTGCATAACCCAATACCTGGCATGCAGTAAATGTTAGTATTTATTGGGTGGGTGGATGGATGGATAGATGAGCTAAAAATAAATTTACATTTTACAGATTTATGACTAATGCCATTCAAGTCATAATTCACTTTTTGCTTACGAAAGTCTCAAGACCAAGAAAAAAAGTAATACTCTAGATATTATTCCCCCCACCCCATCACTACTAGAGCCTCCTAGACAAGCAATAGAAATTCTGGATGAAAAAGTATATAGGGAACTTTTTAATGGGAGGACCATGCAGTTGTCTTAACACCTATTTATTCTTTAGGAATACAGTACTTCTCTGAAGTAGTCACTTCTTAACTGGAGAAGCATCAAAGGAGTCTTTTTTAACTCCAATTGTTTGTATTGTTTCCAGAGTTGCAATTAAGTGTTATCAGAGAAACATACCCTTTCTCATTTCAGCTATGCAGCTCAGGTTATCTGCCTCTATTCCAGAGAGAATAGGAGAGAGAGGTGTGAGGGGGGACATTAGAAGATTGAGAGAGCAAGGATTGAGATTGATATCACCTGAATAACCTAATTAGCTGAGTCACTAGGAAATTAGCACCTAGACCAAGGACTATATGGTATATATGTAACATATCTCAGCTAGTTAGTATTAATCAATCTAAATCATGTCACTTGGAAAAATGGCATCCAAGTTAGGTGTGTGAGTTATGGGTGTGTTTGAGTATGTATGATTTGTCTTAAGGAACTTTGACTTTATAGGTATTAAATGGAAATATTGCCAAGCTTCAAAAATTCTGTAAAGAACAATTCATTATGTAGAATTTAATATCTACAGGCAGTGGCTTTGCCTCTGCCCAGAGTGGAGTGATACTTAGTTTTGTTCCTCCCCCCATTTACACTACATCTCTTTTCTTTACAACTGAACATAAAGATCATGAAATGTGCCTGCCTACACAGACTTATACCTGTTTCTATTGCATTTTGTAAGCCTTTCTGGAGCACTCAGCCAAAAAAAAGTGTACTTCCTAAATAGATCTCCCAAACCTAACCTATAACTTGTAATTATTTTTTAAAATCATTTCTTTTCACCTTGCCTTGATTATTGAATATGCAGTTTTGGTTGAAACAGCCTTTTACTTTAAATACTAAGAACTTTTCATTAAATCTGAGCTTCTTCCTCTTTAGTTATTTGGTGACATGGTGGTACATGAGTCTGAATAATAATATTTTAATAAAATCTCTATTGTGAGGTCTCAGAGAGTCCTCTCAATCATCAAATACATAAATCAAGTCCATTTATGGATAAGAAGACTGAGACCCAGAGAGGAGGCAGTGCCTTGCTCAGGGTGTGACACCTCCCTCCCCAGCTCATAAAGATCAAATTCTGCGGGTTTGGTCTCACTTCTGAGCTCTCTCTCCTAACTACTCCCTAGAGCCTCATGGTGGCTGCTAAATGCAGCCAATTTGACTTGCAGCTAAACCAGCTTTTATGTGGATACTCAAATTTGAGGAATGTTTCCACCTATTTCTTCTATGTCAGTCAGGTCCCATGCACCTATAATAAACACCTGAAATAAATATGTTATCATTAAAGACTGGAAAGGAAGGTTAGGGGCCAATAATCAAGTCCAGATGCCTCTCCTGCATGCTCTCTCCCTCTGGACGTGGCGGGAAGCTGTTAGGTTTAGCTTTTGCAATTAGCCTCCACACTTCCAGCCTGGTGTTCTGGGCCTGAGGCTGAGGGAGCAGGACCAGAGCTGTGTGAGGCTATGCTGGGCACTCTGGTGAAGCCAAGGTCAGCCAGGAGCATGAGTAGGGCACAGTAGGGATGAAAACCAGTTTGGAGAAGTAGGATGGGGGGAGATACTCAGGTGAGCAGCTGAACCAGGAATGTGTTTTGATCATCTTCCTAAGGTTTTTTTCTTTGGGCTAGACCTTTGGTACTGGTGATGAATCACATCCATGCTCTGTCTGACCCCTGAGTTCTAAGAACAAGGTACCTTTGATAAAGGAGGAGGTAGGGCAACCATGCAGTTGAAAGAAGTAAAGAAAATGGTCTCGGAGAGAAAGGCCTCATAAAGGAGGGCATTCACTTAAATAATGGGTGGATCTTTACAGACAGAGATGGCTTCCTTGGTGACAGGACAGTTGAACAAGAGCCCCCAGGGAGGAGAAAAGTGAAGTTTAGTAGGCAGATGAGAGGGGGAGGCAGTTTTTGAGGGAGGCTCAACTCCACTCTGGTCTCATCTGCCAGTTAACTTATGACTTGTCACTTAGTGTCTGTGAGGCTGAGGAGGAAAGGAGGTGAAGGGTGGATATGTTGTTAGTTAAAAATGGTGTGAGTGGGGGTGGGGGACACAAAGGAAAGGAAGAGGGCTGTCAAGATGGGAAAATGGGTTATACACACACACACACAAAAAAAAATATATATATATATATATTTGTGTGCGTGCATGAATGTTTCCCTTTGGGCTTTGAATTAAGTTTGATCCTCAGTTATAACATGCTATAGCACTTTTTCCTATTTTTTTAAGAATTCTTATTAAATAGATATTAAATGCGTCACCTGTAGTCCTTTTAAAAGTAGCAATAAGTATAGCATTTTATTGATTTTAAGCACTATGTATTTTTATTTCTGAAACCCATATTGCATTATAATTTCTTCTGTTCCGTGAGTCAATTCAGAATACTCTAAATGTACACTTCTCAGGAAAAGGTGATTATCACCAAATAGGTACTGCTGGAAGCCCCCCAAATTTTCTTAATGATTTTTTCTTATTAGTCAAGCAATACTCATTACTTCACTATCATAAAAATCATAGAAAAAATTAAATTGTAGATGGACAAATAAAAATGATCTGTGATCCCACCAACCATTATTAACAATTTTGCTTTCAAATAGACCTACCAGATATTTTTTAATTGCACATATTTTAAACTCCAAAAAAGCATTGTTTTGTGTCACAAAAGGAAGAACACAAGTTTTATGTATATATATGTATGTATAATTCATAACCACTTATAATGAATTATAAGAAACTACCAAAATGTGTGGACAGTAGGATCCAGGTGGAGTGAGTTAAAATAAAATTTATTTTTCCTATAATAGAGGTAAGTAGTGGAATAACATGGAACCATGTCATATCTTTTAATTTGATTTTTGAAGGTAGTGCATTCATGTGATTACAAAAGCAAAATTAAAGTGAAAAGTAGACATTGAGAAGTTTCACAGACACTATCTTCCACCCTGTTATTTTACCTGGTTCCCTGTGGCAAGGACTTTTATTAGTTTCTTGGATTGGAAATAGAATATAATCTGCTTAGATAAAAAGTAATGTAGTATTATGTACATTCTTCTGCACCTTGCTTTTTCCATTTAGCTTGTCCTGAAGTTCTCCCATATGAAAACAGAAAGCTTTGTTATTTCTTGTACAGCTATATAGTATTTGGTTCTATGGAGATACCATAGTTTAAATATTTTGTTTTTCATACACTAGATTTGCTATTGTGAACAGTGTTACAATTAATGTATCTATGTCACACATGTAGAGATATAACTACAGGAAATTTTCCAAAATTAAAATCACACAATTATGGCCTGGGGATATAGCTCAGTCAGTAGGGTGCTTTCTTTACATGCACAAGGCCCTGGGTTTGATCCCCAGTACCATGGAGGTGGGGGGAATTGCAGTCAAAAGATAAGTATGTTTGTGATTTTGATAGATTCTGTAAAATTGCTGTTTATAAAGTTTACAGAATTTTCTGTATCTGTTGTTACCTTTCCCAAAGCCTTGTAATTACTTTTTATTTGAAAACTTTGTGTGTATTTCGTTTGTTTTTTGTTTTGTTGTTTTGTGTTTGGTATGAGGTATTGAACTTACTATCTCTACCACTGAGCTACATGCCCAGTCCTTTTTATTTTTATTTTTTACTTTGAAACAGGATCCTGACAGGTTGCCAAGGCTGGCCTTAAACTTTCCATCCTCCTGAGTCTTTAGGACTACAGTGACTCTGGAAGCCATGGTACCTGGCTACCTTGCGTGATTTTTTAAATGGAAATTATATTTCAATAATGCTGACTTGTTAGGACTTAAATTCTCAGAGGCTAAACCAATTATTTAATACATAAATTTGAAATTCGTATAATTCGTTCTTTATTGTTTCTTAACATTGAAAGGAGCCATGATGTAGATATCCACATGGCAGATGATTCTGCAGTAATTCAGTTGAGCTTTAGAATATATTGTGACTTTTTCCCCATTAAATTTCCTTCTAATGATGTCTGTATTAAAAACATTAAGTTGAACTCATGTGTTTTTAGCACAAATTGGTTGTTGGTAGAAGAAGCAAGCCAAGAATTACAAGGCCCCTGAAGGATTGAACTTTTTTTTTTTCACTTCATCTCTGGAGTTATGAATGATATTTCATTTTGTTATTTTTTACATTTACATTTTAAAAAATATTTATAGTATATTCAGACTACTTGAGTAAAAAAATGGAGACAGAGTTGCTGACAAAATGAAAGATCCAACAGAAGTACAATATTTCATTTTTTATGTTCTACCCCAAGAAGTGTGAACCCCTCAGGGAAATAATATTATGTTAAGTAGCACTAATTCTTAGTAGCTCTAAACATATATTTTAATGAAATTAGTTCCAACATAAAAACTGCATCTCACTACATTATCACTTAGAGAGTCAAACGGCCATGTGTAAATAATTGAGAGGTTACAGCTGTGTTGGCCTTGGTGTAATCCTTTAACGGGGTCCCCTGTACCAGTATCTCATGCAGCCTTTCTCTCCCCTTGCAGCATCTTCCTCAAAGAGCTGGAGAAATATGAGCAGCTGCCTGAGGACGTGGGACACTGCTTTGTCACCTGGGTAACCACCCAAACTCCCTCTCCCACTGTCTACATTTCCAGGAGTGTACATGGTACCACTGCTCCATGCCTGACCAGAGGCATGGTGTCGCTGCCAGCCTCACACAGGACCAGGGGCTGCAGAGAGAGCATCAGGTCATCTGTGAGAAGCACCATCTCTGGGGAGCAGAACTGTCCTCGGGAAAGTCCTTAGACAGCAAGTCCAAGCACCATTTTAAGCTCTCTTTAACAATTTTCTAAAATTGAGAGATCGGGAGGGTGGAACAAGACCACCACCCCACAGCAGCTCAGCCCACTAGTTACTTTTTTCAAGATGCGGATTGGGGAACTAGAACTTCAGAAGCTCCTTAACCACTGGTTACACTTCCTTCCTTAATAGAGGACAGGCTCCTGGGGTGTCCCTCCCAGTTTTGTCATATATGACAAATGTCTAGTTATCCTCTTTTTTGGTGCTATCATCATGAGCCAAGTCTGTGGCCTGAATTTACCAGGTTCTAAATATATAAACCAAAAAATTAATCTTCATTAACATCCCACTGCACATTTTTCTGTGCTCAGGCTCATGGATATGAGTGCAAAGAACTCCAGGGAAGCTCACTTAGGACAGTGGGTATGACTAACGTGAAACTTCTTCCCTAGGGTCAGGAGTTCTACTACATGATAATTACCTGTTTATAACTTGCACTCAAAATGAGCTAATTGCTTTTCAAAATGTCTTTGCAATTCAGAGAGTTCATGCTCTCAAAAGTTCTATGGAGTAGGCAGGCCTGTGATTATATTTTAGATTTTTAAAGTGAGATAGGAGGTTGACGAGCTCACTGACATGAAATAAGTATTACAGCAGTGCCACAGCTCAAGACTGACTTCCAGACAACTTTCTTTTTATAAAATCTTAATGTTTGCTTCTAAGCATACTCTGATTCCTTTGGAAAGTCTCAGACTGCCATCTTATTTTGTTCTAATATATGAGCCAATGCCTGGCTCATGTTAATGCTGATAAATAATTTATGATCCCTTGCACAGCCAACATAGAGAAAAACAAGATTGATCATTAAGTAGAGGAAATTTGGGGCATCTTGTTTCATGCAATTTGTGGATTATCTTTACAATCAACCATAAGTATGATTTATTATTATCTCTCAGGGATGCTGCTTTACCTCCTAGGTAGTATATAGCCCCTAAAATTGGTTTCAGAAAACCTTTGGTGATTGGATAAATTATACAGTTTCTGCCAAGAATTACTCCAAGGAGATTTTTCTTAAATCTCATAATCCTAGTATCTGAGTGCAGTGCAAGAATGAAGAGTAGAGAGTTGCTTATAATGTACTATTGCTTTATAATGTACTGAACGGCAATGGTTCAGACCCACAACCCTCGAGTCAGATTACTCGGGCTCTACCACTTTTTAGCTATGGGAATTTAAAGTCACTTAATCAAGCTGTGGTACAGTTTTCTCATCAAATTAAATAATAGAACTCACTGCGTATGGGTGGCCTGAGTTAATATACATAAAACATACAGAATAGTGAAGTCTGATGAAATGAGCACATATTTATCCTGTTCTCTCCGGAGAGAATACCTCAAATGTCCAAGTACATGGTGTTTCACCATTGGGGAAAGTACTTAGTGGGCAAAATGCATATACCTTTCCAGTGGAAAGGGTGTATAACTAACCCAGAAGGTGCTGAGAGAAATAAGAAATGAATTTTCACCCTGCCATGAAGTGACAATCTGTTTAGGAATCATTGTTCAGACCTTGCCCCAAATGGTCACCATTATTGCCTCTGGGAAATTGGGAGTGATGGCTTGGTTTTGTTTTTAAACTACCCCCCACCAGTATAGACATTTGGGGTACAAGCAGATCTACCTCTGAGATACACACCTCATTTGCATTCTTGAAAAGGGACAGAATTTGTCCTTTCTCTAGATGGGGAACACAATTGTGGGTAATTCAAAAAAGGGTGTTGATAATCTCTAAATAATTTCTGTCCAGTGTCAGAATACAATATGATACATGAGTCAGTTTTTCTACTTCTTTCTAGCACTAATATTAAACTAAGCTTATTTTCAGCAAGCTTTTTCTCCCTAACAGGAGGAGAAAAGCATTCCCAAGTTTGTTAAGGAGCCTGGGCTGGAATGGGTGCAGAACATTTGCCATAGAAAATCCAGGCATCAGTATCTGAGGGTTTAACTGTACAGCCCGCACCGGGACCTAAGCCACAGGAGACAGAAGGGAGAAACTGATGAATGCTTATCTATCATTGTCTTTGTTCTTTTCAGGCAGACAAATTTCAGATGTATGTTACCTACTGTAAAAACAAGCCTGATTCCAACCAGCTTATCTTGGAGCATGCCGGCACCTTCTTTGATGTAAGCTCTGGTTTCCCATTCTGTACCAACTGACAAGCAGGTGGAAATATTTCTCTGATCTGGGATATCATTAGTTAGCCATCCTCTGTTCTAATTGACACCTCCAAACCTTTATCTCATGGAAAAGCATAGAGAAAAGCAAAAACAAAATAGTGTTTGTCTTTTGTTTTATCCCATTCCATCTCAACTACTAACTTTGGACAAGGCAAATTTGGCTCTCTGCCTCAATACCATAACTAGCTAGACAAAAGAGGAAGGCTTCTATGATGCAGCTATTGGTTAAAGTGTTTTACTTCTATTTCCATATGCACCTTTCTCAAATACAGTGGTTCTCAAAGTGTGGTCCTTGGGACAGTCTCATCAGCATCACCCAAGTGCTTACTAGAAATGCAGATTCTTGAATCCCACTCCAGATCTGTTGAGTCAGAAGCTTTGAGTGGGGCCTAGTATTCTGAATTTTAAGGATCCATCATGTCCCTGTGTCTTTATTTTCCTTATGCCCGATCAAATTTGAGAATCATTTCTTAATGCACTTGTTTCAACTTTAGTTATACACATTGGAATTGTCTGGGGAACTTTGGAAAATATTGGTTCCTGAGCCCCCCACTTAAGATTCTGATATGATTGGCCTGAATGTAGCCTAGGCTACAATGGGGATTATAAGGCTCTGGTGATAGAAATATGCAGCCAATGTTGAGCCCTTCTGCTATTGTGGAAGCCAAGATAAGAGGAAGGCTGATAGTCCTTGTCAGAGTCTTTGGCTTTGAATAAAAACACAGTCCTATTGGTGGATGATGGAGTACATCTGTTCAGTGCTGGTGTCCAAAGAGAATGACTTGTTGACTCCACGGTGAACAGAATCAAAGGGTGACTGCAAGATTCAAGAGATGAATTAGAAGGAAAGATGAAATTAGGGGAAAAAGGGAAGTTTAGTGAGAGACAGACTATGGCCATTCTGATAGTTATATCAGAAGTTATAGAAAATTGAAATTCAGAAATTTTAAAAGGCCATCAGTCTATATTTCTGCCTACTTGCTCTCATTTTTCCCATAAATATTAGGATGTCTATTATATGCAAGAAGTGTGGTAGGCCCCAGAAAGAGTACAAAGACATTGAAAAATGGTTTTTATACTCAGTTTTACAAAATAAGCCTTCTCTGGGCATCTTTCTAGGCTGACACTGCTATAGCAGAATTGATTCCAAGAGTATGCTGTTGTTCAGTGAAGGAATGACACTTGATGGGAGAAGCTAAATGAGAAACAGACATGATTTTTTTTAAATGGAGACCTAATATGGAAATGGCCATTGATCTCCAAAATTAGAATTCCTGGAGTAAAACAGAAAAAGCCAAGAAAAGTCTTGTGCTCTGATCATGCCTCCAACACTCTGTGTCCTTATCTTTACTCACACTGTTTTTCTTGCCTAGGAAGCGTCAAGCCTCCTGCTCACATGCACGTGCATGTATGTGCTCCAGCTCATGCATTCTCTCTCTCATACACACACAGTTACTCTAGAATTCTATCTTCCAAAGGCCAAAAGCTATTACCTGTACAAATCCTTCCTTCTCTATGCAGGTATTGTACTTTCTATCTCTGTTACAGCATTTTCACTCACTTGCCTTTTGACAAGCCAACAATGTGCCTTTCTGTTATATACCTTCTCTCCACCTGAGCCTCCTGAGGCCTGATGGTATGCTTCAGTCATATCTGTACACATCTGAATGCCTGATGCTATATTTCATTTACCTTAGTTCTGTGTTTCTTGAGTCCCTAGTCTCTCTGGTCAATTTTTAGACTTTGGCTCCTCTTCCCGCTCCTCTTCCCAAACTACCCCACCCCACCTCATTTCCAACCAATGGGAGCCATGCCATTAGTTGGGAAGGCCAGTGGAAGCCAGAAAACCATCAGTTCATCAAATTCGGCCTGGACATGAAGAGAGCAGCAATAAGTCTTTCTGATTTTTCCCAAAGCTTTTCGTTCAGAAAGCATAGTTTTATAGTTTATTTCCACTTTGTTAGAAAGGTTTCTCTAAATTCTACACCTAGAAACCATTTGCTTTAGCTCTCATTCTATAAAAGTGACAAACCCTTTAAAAGGCCATTTCTTATCTATTATTATAAAGAGAACATAGAAAATTGAAGTCCTAGAAAGACCCACACATTCACCTGAACCAGAATTTTGAACTTAAACATGAGAACAACATGGGTTCTCACAGGGTCTGGTGCCCTGCGTTTCCTGAGCCTGTTTCAATTGACCTTGCAGATGGGGGCCACCTCTTTCTCTGCTCCACATACAGTCTTCCCAGAGAGGGAAGGGCATCAGCAGTACTGTGAGCACATTGCATGGGAACCATGTATTTAAATATCATTGTATCCCCCAAGGGGCACCAGAGCCCCCAGATAAGCCCACAGCTTCATTTGCCCAAAGAGATCAGCATCCTTTAACAAGTCCTCTGTCACCAGCACCTATAGGGAAGAGGCAAATGAGTAAAAATATCACTACCTTCTTGGGTCATTGGTGGAAAATGGAACAACTTAAGTTTTTAATCCTTTTCATTCCCCTTCCTCTATAACCCCATAGCAAATCCTTTATAATCTAGCTTTAAAATATTTCTTTTTATTTCTCCCAGTGTTTGTTGTTGTTATTGTTGTTTTAAACTAAATGTAGCTTAGGGCAAGCCCACACATTGCACTTCTGGACTTTTTGAAGAATAATAACATTATTGTCATATAACTAACATACCATTCAAATCTCCCATTTAAAATATATAATTCAAAAGTTTTATTATGCTTATAGATATGTGTGACCATCCCTGCAGTAAACTTTAGAGACTTTTAATCACCTCATAAAGTAAGTCTACACCTTGCAGCTATTACCAACACCCCACCATTCACCTGATCCCCTAACCCTAAGCCTTCACTGATCTGTTTTCTTTCTTGTCTGGACAAATCATGAAATTGGAATCAGGTAGTTTGTACATAGGATCTTTTGTCACTCGCATCTTCCACTGAGGTTAATCTGTGTCATTGCATGCTTTAGTACCTCTTTCCTTTTTATGTCCAAAATAATATTCCATTGTATGTATGTGGATATTTTGGTTTTTGGTTCATCAGTTCATGAACATTTGAGTTGGCCATTCATAAACATATATTTTCATTTCTCTTGGGTATACACTTCAGAGAAGAACTGCTGAATCACCTGGTAACTTCTCATTTATATACCTGGGCATTTGAAGTAACCTTCTAGTTTGTCTCTGTGTCTCTATTTCCCCAATCTTCACCCCTATGTTGCTATTGGATGCATATTATCCTTTTTGAGATATTGTTGTCATCAGAAGAAGAAATAGATCTATACTATTTGCCATTGAAAAACTTACCATCAAATCCTCTTTCTTCTAATTCAAGTCCTCCAATGACCTAGCCTTGCTTATCTGTTTTTGTTGTTTGTTTATGCATCCTCTGTATCATTCAGGCATTATCTAAACACATATTGGTCATTTCAGCCTGAACGTTTTTGTGTTTGATGTTCTCCCTTTAGAAAGTGTCATTCTTTCAACTTTCCTCTTAAACAACCTCTACCTATGGTCTAAGCCCCAGGTGAGTCTTGGTCTCTACTACTACTAACCTCTGTGACCATTTGACGATTCCGGAGCCAGTGATTTCTCTTAGTTCTCTGGCTCTGACACATCCTCTGTGGTCCTTTGTTATTCTCTAGTTTATGTGTGTGGAGTAGTCTCAGCTGGACTGTAAGCTTTCTGAGGGCGGGGGGTAGTATATCCCCTTCTTTGACCTCCATATCTCTGACAGTTTGGGGAGTATAAGATCATTTGGAGGTAAGTTAGAGAATAGATAAGAGGGGAAACCAGAGGCACCCACAGCAGCTAGAAGCCATGGCCTTGGCATAAGTGCTGAGGCTGGTGTCCATAGAAATGGAGAGGAAGGACTTGTCCTACAAAAAAACAGAGGAGAAATTACTAAAAATGACTGTGCTTTCTAGCTTAGGAGACCTGAGAAAAGAGGGAAGTGCCATTGATCACAGTGCAAAAAGTATTAAGAAATAAAGTGATGATCCTAAGTTGGTTTGTGGTAAATTTAAAGAGGAGGGGCGGGCCTAGTGCGGTGGTGCACATCTGGCATCCTAGCAACTCAGATGCTAAGGCAAGAGGATTGTAAGTTCGAGGCCAGCCTCAGCAACTTAGCAAGACCCTGTCTCAAAAAATAGATAGATAAATAAGGAGGAGGCATGATGAAAGAGATACATCCTTATGCTAATTTAAAAGATTCTGAGGACAGATAAAGAGTGAGAGTCACAAAGCTGGAATCGGAACCTCATTCTCTGTCTTCCCGTTACTCTCATTGTCCTTTATCCCATTATTGCCCCTCCCCATATGTTCTCTTACATCCACAACTTCTCCCCTCTTTTCTCTTTCTGTCCTGACTGACCTCATCATTTTTTTCTACTTTTTATCTTTCTCTATTTCTGCTTGCTTTTTACTTCTGTCTCATGAACCCGCTTTTCTCTTTTCAGCAGTTCTCCTCTTTTCTATCTCTGCACCTTGATCTCTCTTTTTTCCCTTTCTTCCCTCGATTCCTACCCAAGAATATTTTCTCATAACTGTCCACCTTTTCCCCTTTCCTCCTCTCTTCTTACCCTACCTCTTAGAACACGCGTACACTTGCTCCTCCATCTCATTGTACCTTCTTCTCGTCCCTGTAGGAGATTCAGCAGCGTCACGGTCTGGCCAACTCCATCTCTTCCTACCTAATTAAGCCAGTCCAGAGGATCACCAAGTACCAACTGCTCCTGAAGGTAACTCCCCCCCACTCTGTCACCTCTACTCACTTCTGACTGGGGTGGGGGAGTCTCAGCTTTGCGCCTGGAGCTGGGAAACTTCTACCTGAAGGCCTTCTTCCACCTAGAGCAGAGCTCCAAGGAGGGGGCCTTGTGGCATTGCCAGCTCCTGACTGCAGTTCCTATTCCTATCCCATGGAATTCCAGATTCTTGATTGAGGGGAGGAAGAGGAGAAAAGGAAGCAAGAATAAGTTCTGACTGGTTTTCACTTCCACTCACCCTTGTGCAACCTTTAAAAGTTGTCACCTCGGGCCCTGGCTGGCTCTAAGCAGCTCTTCTATCCCTCCTTCCTGAGCAGCTTCCTCCTGCGGCCTCTGCTTTTGATGAGTATTAAGGACAGTTTATATGGGTAGTGGAGGCCAGGGTGGCACCTATCATTGCTTTAATCTGTGTTTGTCAAGATCATAAAGTTATTGAGGGAAAGTAGTCAGAGGGCACATATTAGAATATATGGCATCTTGTACTGAGAGGGTCCCATAGCTTAGGGTTTTCTCCAAAGCCAACCAGGAGAATTGGATTTCCTTTAAGAATCTTTTATTTTAAAGTCAAATAAACAAATTATATAAAATACTAAGTAATTTGACTTGAGTTTTTTCATATAAAGTATACAGTGATGCTCTGAAAATGTGGCATTTCCACAAAAACAGAAGTTGATCTTGGAGGCAGTTAGATATTATCATAAATCTGTAGTAATCCCTAACATGTAAGGATGGAGTTTTTCTCCTTTTGATATTTTGTTGGTTTTTCCTGTAGTGCAAAGGATGAAGGGATAGTAAGAGACATGTTCAAAGATATATAATTTCAGAGAAAATCTGATGAAATGAAGCTCATTTCAATGCCTGTTGAATATCACACATTTTAGCTTCATTGAACCTGAAAAACAGTCTGGTTTCAAATTGGGCCTCTAGTCACGATGGGGTTGTGCAGAAGCCTCTGCCTCAGTGGTAGAGCACCCTATGTTCAATCCCCAGTACCAAAAAAAAAAAAAAGTATCTTTTTTACTTTTTTTGACTTTTCTCCCACAAGTACTTTAGTGCTTCAGGCTCCTCTTTACCTTTGACTCTGGTTTCTTATAGTAAATTCCCCTCAGCCTGCATTTCTGTGCATGATTAACCTCTCCTTCCCTACCCTGCTTAATGCATGACCCTTCTAAATTGTTTTTCTTGTCTAATAGACCTTAAAATTGATTTTTGTGTGTTTGTTTTTAATATATCTCAAATCCTTTGCAGGAATTGATAGGGTTGTTCTTAAATCAATTAAGACACAGTTCTAGGAGCTGGGCGTGGTGGTGCACACCTATAATCCCAGCAACTCAGGAGCCTGAGGCAGGATGATTGAAAGTTCAAGGCCTGCCCTGGGCAATTGAATAAGCTCCTATCTCAAAAAACAAACAAAAAGTGCTGTTCTAAGAAAAATATAGCCTTTCTCTTCTCCTTTAAATCCCCTAGGTTTCTGAAGTTCCCTGGGTTGACTCATGCAATAAGGACAAGGGAGGGACATGGACATGGAATGTGCCACCCTGTGTATTGCTTTAGATATCTGGAAGAGTAGGCTGTAGGCCTTCATTCTGGAACTGAGAGTTTTGGGGAGAAGTACTATGTGGGTAACTGAGAAGTGAACAAATATGTAACAGGGACTTTATTGTAGGAAGATTATAAATTATTGGGAAAAAGAAAGATAAGGTTTGCCTCTTTAAAATGTGCTGGTGGCACGTTTGCCTGCTGATTCAAAGAAAAATAGTGTGCTAAACTTTGACTAGAAATAAATAATATGGGATTTTTTTTCTCCTTTAAGTCAGTTTTATTGCAAATAAATTGATATCTAATTATCAGTATCTTCTGGGGATCACCAGTTTAGGTGTTGAATGAAAGTAAAAACTATGTCAGTTGGGGTGGTCAATATTCTTCCTGTAAATCTGCAATAGCTGTCCATTTGGAGTCTAAATTAAATGTGGAGGTTTCTCTTTACCATAAACTATAGCAAGGATCCAAAGAGAATTTATTGGCTCTGTTGGGCAGATTGTTAGACTTGTTAAATTGCTTTGGGGGATTAAACTAATTGCTATTTTCTGTTATACATGAAGCTATTTCTTGTTTCTCTCATATGTTCTGCCTTGGGCTTTCTTTTGATAATGTGTGAGGAAAAGATTGGGAGGGTTAAAATTAGGAAAGGGGTGGAGACATTGGAAAATTTTCAGGTTGGTGGAAGTAAGTACTTTCTGAACAATGACATTGTTCATGAACCAAGAAAGGGGCTGAGAACTCGTACTTCCCAAATATGTGTGCCTGGCAGTTCACCTCTCCTTGGATGCTCACAGCTCCCCTCCTTTCATATAGGAATATATCCAGAATAACACAAAGCACTGGATTTTTTGTGTCAGAGTCTCATTAATCAGATTTCTATCAAGTATAAAGATTTACTAATAATTTCAAGGCAAGGCAGAGATGAATCAGGGGAAAATTCAGGAGAGTCATTGTGGCCCCAAGGCCTTTCTTGCAGCATCAGAATGTTCTGTCGCCCAATTAACAGGCAGGGAGTCCAAATGATGTTTGCTGCATCATTTCCCTTGCCCTGGAGTTGTGAGTGCGCTCACATTTTACTAAGATAGTTCCATAGTTTATGTGACACTTTCCAGAAAGTATGCCCATAAAGCCACAGATTCCAGGTTTGTTTAGCATAGGAAGCCCTAGACAGGCTAAGATGTGTCCTGTTAAAAGCATTCCGTAGATAAGCATTCTTCTGCTGGCAAGTGTCATGAATATATTTGCCAGCCAGCCTGCCATTAACATACTTACAAGATTTGATCAAATGAACTTCTTTTTTTGCTCCAAGTGTATCCCCACCCAACCACCCAGCCCCTGGGCCCTCCAGGAGAACTATGGATTGCAGATCTTTCTCTCCCAACATCAAAATGAGCAAGAATAGTAAAAATGAAAAGCCATTCTTCTAGATGGGCAAATGGTCTGATTCCTAAGAGAGTTGGAGGTGATCTTACGTCCATCATCCAGATGCTCTATGTGTTTTCTGGGGTTGGTGATGACTAAGACTCCAGTGAAAAGAGAGGGTATGTCCCCACTTCCCCCAGGAAGTAAGAGAAGGTCTGCTCTAGGAGGGCTCAGTGAGTAAAGGATGTGGAAAAGATGGCTGGTGTGGTGGATGGAGTGCTGGGCTTGGTCTCAGGAGACCTGTGTTCCAGCCCCTGCATGGCCTCCTCTGAGTTTCATAACCTAGGGGAAATCCTCCATTCCTCTTCATCACCGCTTTGTATTCTAACAATGAAAGGACTAGTCTAGAATCCCACCCACTGGCCCCAGATTGGGAGCTACTGATTTACATATTCTAAAAATACTTTGTAACTCTGAAAATGTTATCAGTCTATAATGTCTCTGACCTCAGGTTCTCCTCGTAGGATGGAAGTCAGCCTCAGAGCAATAGAGTTTATGAATAGGATTGGGCATGGTGGCACACAGCTGTAATTCCAGCTACTTGGGAAGGGGACATGGAAGGACAGCAACCTAGCAAGACCCTGTCTCAATTTAAAAATAAATAAATAAGTTGTTAGAAATAGGGGTACAGAGATAGATGAGGGCCGCCTGGTGTGCAGCACTCCCTTTTTCTTCTCTTTCCTCTCTGTTCTCATTCTTGTGATCCCACAATACCATACCTCTTTTGTAGGCTTTGCTGTTACCCGCTTCCTTCTCCAGAAAGCAGTTCATTGATAGAGAGTGCCCTGGTTGCTGATTTTTTTTTTCCAGTCATTTGAAAATTGGGTTGAGTTGACTTCATATAGACTAAATAGGGCTGAGGAAGCTCAGTCTGGAAACAAAATAATGTTTGAATTCTTTGGCAGTAATACCTCACCCCTCCCCACCCTACTTGCCTTATAACTCGGGTATAGCAAGAGAGCGAGGCTGGTGTATAATTTCCTTAATGAGTTGGATGGTGGGAGGGCTGGGAAGCTGAGGAAATGACCCTAATTTTGATGGATTTTTTTTTCCTTAGGAACTTTTAACCTGCTGTGAAGAAGGGAAAGGGGAGCTCAAGGATGGCCTGGAGGTGATGCTCAGTGTCCCCAAGAAAGCTAATGATGCCATGCATGTCAGCATGCTGGAAGGTAGCTGTCTTCCCAGTCCTTCTGGGGATGCTTCCCCCATTCCTAAGACCAGGGAGCTGGCACTGTGGGAGGGAAGTGGCATAAAGTCAAGGCCAGATAAGCCTGGGAGAAAGAAGAAACAGCAAGACCTTAGTTGGTCATTGGTAGAACGGAAGAGAAGTGCCACAAACCAGTTTGGTTAACACCTGCCTCCAAGTTGGACCAGGCCTAAGCCACTTAAGGTATTTGGACACCTTATTCCCCATGAGATAGTCTAGGACAGGCCACCATTTTTGCTATAAATGTGCTATAGCCCTGACCCACAGCACTCCTGTTAATCAGAATAAGGAGAAATTCTAATTATACACACACACACACCATTATCTTTAGCATTATGCTCATCTTTTAAAATATATATAAATATATATAACATAAATTTACCATTGTAACCATTTTTAATTGTGCAGTTCAGTGGCATTCAGTACATTCACATTCTTGTGCAACCAGCCTTTTGTCCTTCCATAGCAGGTTAAGACAGACTAGTCAGATAGCCCCAGATAGGACTTTTGTCAGCTGTAGCTATGTTCTTGGAATCCAGAATCCTTCCAGAGCAAGGCTCTAGTCACGTGGTCTTGACATTGTGAACAGATGGGCAGAGCAGCCACATGGAGGTGGGATTAGATAGATGGGTTAAGACTTCACATTCCAGTCTGGGCTGGCACACAGGTGCTAAAGGAAATAAGTATAGTCTGTTGCAAGTATATAAAGCACATTGGCTGTTTTTCTCATCTAGCCTCCATTCCACCTTATGCTATCCCATTCCACCCCCCACCCACCACCACCAAGAGTCTTGGTGTGGTCTCCTGGTCAACCGGTAGCACAGGAAGCACTAATTCTTAGAGTAAAAGAATCTTGGTTATCATCTCCAGACTGAGCACTGATCATCTGACTTTATTGCTATTGTCACAATTTCTCCACCCCTTTCTTTTCTATGTGCACCTAACCGGCAATCCTGGGTATCTTCTTCCATAAGTTCCCAGCTCATCTAGCCTGTCCCTAATCTGTAGTCTAGATCCAGTTACTCCAAGTATGGTCTGCAGACCACCAGCAGTGGCTGGGAAGTGGTCAGAAGTCCAAATTCATGGACTTGCTCTGTAGCTGCTGAATCAGAGTCTCTTGGGAGGAGAGGGATGGGCAAGTGATTCTTAATGCACACTAAAGTTTGAGAACCTGCATAAGGACTTACAGGGGTATAAATATAAACTAGTGAAAGCTGTGCACCACTCTGAGCAGGAACAATCAAAGGGAAGAGTCCTAGGAATGGAATTTAAGAAATAAGGCAGTGGCCAAGGCAGCGGAGACAAGACACTACATCAGGCAATGTGTGTCTTCAGCCCCACTCAGAGCTGTGAGTTAGGAAAGTTGGGAGATGTGGAAGGAAGAGCTATGGGATTTGCCCTTTGAGGGAGGTCTCAGGTCCTTCCCACATGAGGGTTCTGGGAAGGAAGGTCCCACAGGACCCTTGCAGGAGTTTCCACTAACTTAGCTTAAGTGTACTTGGGCACAGGGAATGGGTGGGTGGGGGAGATCTAATCACGGTTCTATAAACTTGTCTATATTGGTATCCAAAAGGCAGAAGCCTGTGGGAGTCAAGGGCTAACAATTAGGGAAACCTTTCTCCAAGAGAGAGTGGAACTCACCCTGCAACATGGTGGTAGAGAAACTCCACAGGGTGGACATGGGTGTTTTTTCAGGGTTCGACGAGAACTTGGATGTGCAGGGGGAGTTGATTCTCCAGGATGCCTTTCAAGTGTGGGACCCGAAGTCTCTGATCCGGAAGGGGCGGGAGCGGCACTTGTTCCTCTTTGAGATCTCCTTGGTTTTTAGCAAGGAGATCAAAGACTCTTCAGGACATACGAAATATGTTTACAAGAACAAGCTACTGGTAGGTGGGGCAGGTGGGGTAGGACAAGACCCCCTGTTTTCATAGAGCCCGTGGGCAGGAAGGGATCTGGACACACTCAGCTCATCTCTTCCCTGGCCTCCACACCAAACCCTCCTGGACAAATGCAAATGGCTCCTATTTGGAAAGCTCCCACCCTCACCTCCCACCTCTGCATTTTAGAGTTCACAGTTCTTCTTTCTGTTTGCTTTTAGCACTTCCCTCTTCACATCCCTTCCTGGTACCTGCTAATCAGGCACGTGCCTGTAGGTTCTTCATCCTGGGTAGATGAACAAAATATCCAGTCTGTTGAAGTTTGATTGACAGAAGCCCCTCCCTCGGTCCTCTCCTCTTTGTTGCCTTTCCCTTCCCATCCCAGCCCTAAGTTTCCCCACTGCCCTCCCCTTCCCCGCCTCTCACAGGCATTTCCTGTCTACAGACCTCAGAGCTGGGTGTGACCGAGCATGTAGAGGGCGACCCCTGCAAATTCGCCTTGTGGTCTGGGCGCACCCCATCCTCAGACAATAAAACAGTGCTCAAAGTAAGTACAGCTTTCTGCTGGGCACAGTACCTATTGGGGTTGGAAAAGGGGTTAAGGGAGGGATGTGGGCATGTGACCCTGAAAAGCTGAGACCTGGAGACCACTGAGCCACTGGGCCTCTCTTGAGAATGGCAGCATCACATGGGTATTAAGAAGCAAATTCCATCATGAAGGTAGACCTAGAGTCAATATCAAAGACAATGTTCTCCTCAAATCCATAGAGGGAAGAGGGAAAGAGTAGCCTCCTGACTCCTCAACAAGGCCCGCTCAGCTATGTTCTGACCATACGTCTCCTTCTGGTGGCAAGAACAACAGTTGGCCCTTTGACAAAAGGCACCATGATTTGCTCCATGTTCACCTAATGTATTTCCCTAAGCACCTTCCATGTGTAAGGTATTCTGCCCACTGCTACAGGGAACAAGTATGTAAAAGATACGGACCTTGTTCTCTAGGAACTTGAGCTCTAGGAGCTGTAGTTAACCCTTCTGATGTGGGTTCTCAGCACGGTTATCTCAGGTCTCCAGAGCATAACCTGAGCCTTGAGCTGGTGCTTCTGGAAACAGTAGCCTGACTGAGCAGGGATCATGTAGATGGAGCTTCCATTGGTCACTCGGTTGTCAGGGAGGTACCAGGGAACAGATGGTCCAGCCCCAACAAAACCTTCACACTTGTTCACTCTGAATTGCCAGTATAGCTGCTACTTGTCATGAAGCAGAATTATCTAAAACAATAACAACAACAAAAAATCCAGGACATCAAATGGGATGTTCAGGGATGATAGCAATTGCTCCAGTGAACAGTTTAGCAGCCTAAAAACCCAGGACTGTCTTCCAGCCAGTGTAAGCTTGTGTAGCTGTGGTAGGTGTTGAATATCCTGGCCTATGTCCATGCTGGCTGATGACAAATGCTGCCTTCAAATGCCATCCCTCCCAGTGCCCCCAGACTTCTCTACGTTCTGGCAGCTCAAGTGTTAACCCCTGCCCAGCAGAGGCCTCCAGGAAAGACATCAGGATTAGTCATTGCCCTATGGGTCTTGAGATATTTTGCAAATTCTCCTTGACTGAGTCTACATTGCATCTTGAAGTCATAGCTTTATTCTAGGAGTTTGAGAAATGCATCCCTGGAATTAAAGAGTCACAAGTGAGAAATAAACTCCTGAACTTTTGGTATCCTTGAAAATAACAGCTGAGGCCTATGGGAGGGGATTGAGATTGGTTTTCAGAGGACAACAGGAGCTGGGGTTCTCAATCTTTCTCACTGTGGCACTCCAGGCTTCCAACATTGAAACCAAGCAGGAGTGGATCAAGAACATTCGAGAAGTGATACAAGAAAGGATCATTCACCTGAAAGGAGCTTTAAAGGAGCCAATTCAGCTCCCCAAAACACCAGCCAAACAGAGGAACAATAGTAAGAGGTAACCAGCATCTCTCCCTCCAGCACTGCCCACTCATGTGCTTCTAAGAGTGGGAGTGGGGGGACTCTGTCCTTTTGAATGGGTGTTACACTGTATACTCTCTCTCTGGAAAGGCCCACAAGTTTCACCTAATGAAGAATTATCTCATCTTTAACATCCCATGAGCTCCTGTTAATGAAGTGCAGCAGGGCTTCATTGAGCATCTCCTATTATATTATAAAAGGAAGTATCAGATGAGTCAGTTCCCTCAAGAACCATCTAACAATTATGTCTCACACTTAGTTAGATAAGAACAGGCACTATCCATAGGATGGTAAATACTGTAAGAATTCAAAGAAAGAAGAATTTAGATGGCCTTCTATGTGGAGTCTAGGGAAGTCTTTGGGAAGGAGATGGGCTGTGAGCAGGGGACTCTCTAGACTAGTTAGACAGTAGAAGAACTTTGTGCACTGTAAGAGGTGAAGTGGTATGGCCAGGTATCACTGTGGCTCTTACTGCTGTCCCCATGGAGTTCTAACCTTTATTCAGCTATGATAAGTAGTAACATCAAACAGAAGAGGACTTAGTTCTTGAATCTCTCTGGATCTTTTTGAATCTCAGTTTCCTCCAAACCAGTGGATGACTTCCTAAGCATTTCTTTCCCAAGTCTCCATGTGACACCTACACTTGAAAGAAAAGCATATGAAAACTTCATATACACTTTGAGAAAATATATAACAAAAGCAGAGTTTTGAGATGATCATTATTGGTGATAACAGGTTCTCTGTTCTTCCCCTGTGCACAAATAGAAGAGATCCAGGGGATTTAGTTGACTTTATGGTATCAACCAGGATAAGTAGGATGGGGAGCTGCTGCAGGGGCTATGAAGTGGGATCAGTACTCCTGAGGGAAGTGGTAGCCAAAAGAAGGGAATGATTAAAGTAGAGATGCCTTCAAGGGACAGAAGCCTCAAGACCTATATGACCAGGATGAGGTCACCTGCTCAGTGCTGGAAAGGCCAGTTATGAATAATAATGGAGGAGGATTCATTTTTACTTCATGTACCCATGTCTAGAGTTCAAATTATGGGTAAACTTAGTTTAGCACTAGAGACATCATGCTTCATGTAGCCCATACTTTAACAAAGAAGATAGAAAGGAAACTATTATAAAGAACAGATTTCCTAGGACCATGGTGAGTGAGAAAACGCAGGTGAGGTTAGCTGGGGTTACTCTGTAAAATAACACACCCTTTTCTTAGTGTGGAAGAGTTGGAGTGTTTCTAGAATATAGGAAGGGCATGTCTTAGAAATGTCCCCACCTTCTCTTTACCTTTTTTTTTTCTTTTCTCTTTTCCATGATGGGAGGGGAGGAAACCTTATAGACTCTGCAGAAGAGAGCCAGACAATCTGTGCTCCCCCTCACTTGGCTCCCTTGATATGGGGACAGAGTTTACGGAGGAGGGGATTGGCTTGGGGGATGCTACCCACACTTCTGGCTGGGGCCCACACCCTAAAGAACTGGCTTCATCTGGACTAGACCAGAAGGGCCAGAACAGCAGGAAGCAGAAAGTACAGCCAGCTCTCAACAGTCTAAAAAGGTGGGGGCAGTGGCCCAGATAATCGAAAACAACAGATGATCTAAAAGTCCTTTATTTTTGGTTTTGAAATGCGTCACATCATTTCTTTTTACAGCAGATTTTCCTTCCTACGAATGTATGGCTTATGTTATTTAAAAAGTCGGCATTTCCCAAACCCACAAGTGATGGCAAGAGAGCAGTCAACTTAGAAATGATCTGCCAGGGAGAAACTGCTTTTTTTGATGAGTGGACACTGTACATGTACACATGCACACGTGCACACGTGCACACATGCACACAGGTGAACCCCTGCATACACACGCATATCCACATAAATTCAGACACCACGTTATAATTGTTTAGGCTCTGGAAGGTGGATTCATAATTGGTGGCATTTTGCACCTAGGCTGAGATTCTCAGGCATGGAATTCTCATCTCCCAGTACTCTCACTTTTCCATAAGCAGCATTAGGGTCTGACTTTCATAAAAGTGTCCATAGGAAAACTGGTTTTCTCTGCTAATTCCCTCAACCCCAGTCCAAATCTTCCAAGTTTTTCCTGACACAGACCATTCAGCCATTTCCAGGCATTCAGTCCCTCTGGTACCCCGCTCGGGGTTCAGTGCAGAATCAAGGCACAGTTCTAAAGCAGAGAGTTGCATAGTTTCATGGACATGGGGCATGAACACGTCTAAACACCAGGAGTCTAGTCAAAAGACACTGAGAAGCACAGCTGGCCCAAAAGCTGCTGTAGAATCTGTAACTCTTATCCAATCTTTGAGAAAATACTTTGGCCTTCTGTGTCGATTTAAGATTATCACAGATAGACCTGTAGTCCCACAGCTATTTGGCAGAAGGATCACTTGAGCCTAGAGATTCGAGTCCACCTGGGCAGCAGAACAAGACCCTGTCTCAACAATAGAAAAATATTCATTTTTTTCTTACCTTTTTTTTTTTCTTCAATACTGGGGAGTGAGCCCAGGGCCTCACCTATGCTAGGCAAATGCCCTACCACTGAGCTATATCCCCAGCCCTTTTATATTTTGAGAGAGGATCTCATTAAATTGCCCAGGCAAGTCCCAAACTTGTCCTCCTCCTATGTCAACCTCCAGAGTTGCTGGGATTATAGGCATGTGCCACTGCACCAGGCTTATTTCATAAACTAGTAATAAGCCAGCCATCAACCTAAATTAAAACACATAGAAAAACTATTTCAGTGTCCTATACTCTGAAGTTATTGAAAATGACCCTGTCCACTGGATGGAAGCCTAGGATACACATCTTCATACTGCCTACTTTAGATCCATACCCAGTTAAAAAAGAGAAACCACAACTTGCCCCTGTCCAGGATGGGCCAGAGGAGTTATGGGGAGAGATCAGTTTGCATTCAGTTATCAGCATAGTGATGATATGTTAGTGCTAGAAGTGATGTTGTTAAAATCATATAGGGCTGCTTCCTTTAGCAGGATAATTGTAGACAGATCCCTGCTAGAAATGCTGAGGCACTGCTCTGCCACCTAGCTGGAAGTCCTTGTGTGCTCTAAACCCACAGTTGTTTCCCCCCACCCCCACCCCTGTTTTCTTTCTCTTCTTCCTGCAGGGATGGAGTGGAGGATATTGACAGCCAGGGGGATGGGAGCAGCCAGCCAGACACCATCTCCATTGCCTCTAGGACCTCTCAGAACACAGTGGACAGTGACAAGGTAGGACAGAGTCCCAGTCTTCCGTCCCCTGAGACTTCTTGTTGGTTTAAGCACCCCTGGAAAGTTACCCTCAGAATTCCTCCCACTCAGGAGCCAGTTGTCTCTTTGTGTCAGCAAAGGGGACAGAACAGGACCAGACTCTTAAGCTGAGAGAGTCATACAGAAGTGGAAGGGTAAACAGTGGGAGAGGTGAGGTCGAGGAGTCTGGTGTCTCTGAGATGCCCTGCCTGGGCTGCTTGGGCTACTTTGCCTTATGGGAGGATGAACCTCAGAAGATCTGAGGTTGGGATAGTTTCCTGAGACCCCAGTGGCTGTGATCGGTTCATATTTATCATGATTTGAATGGGGCTTATCTCAAAATTAGATCAAAACCAATGGTTTGGAAAATGGCCTCATCGATGCTGCTTGATAGGGGCCTCTTATCCAAAAGGACTTACGGATAAATGATGCTTTCCTGTGACCAGGTTACCGGGGCTCAGTTCCTGAGGGGCAGAAGGATCAGGAAATGATGTATGAAGGATGGAGTTATCTAGTAAGAAAGCCTGGTCAGTTGCTCTCCTACACCTTGGAGCCAGCAAGAGTTAGGAGCTCTGAGAGGGAGGGAGCACAGGAAGAGAAACTAGAAAGACTCCATGTATTTGCTCAGGTGCCTGCATGAATTTTCAGCAGAGGGAGAAAAGGATCCATGTCCCAGCCTACTTGCATTTGCTTACCTCAGAGTCCAAAGAATGTGAGGTAATCTTTTGCTGCATATTTCGATTTTATTAATAAAATTATAGGTTTTCAAATCATATTTGGCCCTAGTTTATCCGGACCTAGTATTTCAACCTGATCCTTCAACCTCAGGCAGCAGGCTGTTTCCTTGATTAATTTTAATTTCCTGAGTATGGGTATTTTTTAAAGATGATCTGCATTCATTAGGATTTTTCCTAATTTTTTCTTTTCGGGGAAAAAAAAATAGCCACTGAGACTTTAACAGGGGAATTGTGTCCCAATTTTGGCACCCAACTACCCTAACCATTCTTTCTTAGACTAGTGTTCAAGGGCATTCAAGGTGATTCTGACCTCTGCCTTCAAGTTTTTAAGCCAATTTTTAATATCAGAGTGGATGGAAAATTAAGTTTTTTTACACTTGTAAAAACATGCAAAGAAAACTATTTCTGTACTTTCCTGTCTCCTCTAATTTATTGTCTAGCAATATGACAAGAATACATTATGAATAAAAGGTATTCTAGAATACCTTATGAATAAAAGTGTTCCTTTGGGAACAGTTAATGAATGGGTTGTAGGTCAAGGGCAGTATCACCCATGTTCAGACATAGGCTATTGGTTTCCTGGTCCAGGGGCTTTATTCCTTCCAGCTGCTAATCCATCTTCCAGAAGCCCTGAGGTAGACACAGACCCCTGTTCTAGGGCCCTTTGTCATAAGAAGACCTTGCTCAGCTAATCTTTTTCCTTCTGGCCAGGTAAGTGAGGCTAGATTAAAAGACCTCCAACAGCAGGCATTTCGTTATTAATGAGGGATCTTAGTGCTTACCCTTTTCTTATAAGTAAGGAAACTGAGGCTCAGAGAAATAAAGTGGCTTACCTGAGAAAATTCTAGTGGTTAGTGAAAAAGCAGGAACTAGAACCCAGGCCTCCTGATTGACAGTCATGTTGTCCTTTCACTCTAGAAGTTAAAGTGTTAATCTCTCAATGCTGAAGTTCTTCTAGCTGGTCAGTCTCTCTGCACATTCCTCACAAACTTCAGCCACTTGTGAAAGCACCTCACATGTGCGGAGTTCTGTGCTGGATACTGCAGAAAGATATGGACTGTTCGTTGAGTGTGAATCCCTTTTTGTCCAATTTTTTGTTTCCTGTCTGTGTCTATTCCAGGTCATTGGTCTCTGATGAGGGCAGGGGCTGTGTCTGTCTGTTTCACTGTAATAATCCTGACATACAGTGTACCTAGAGGCTCAGGAGACATTTGTGAAATGAATGAATAGAGGGCACACAGTGCCTGGTCTCATGGAAACTCAGGGTTGAAAGGTAGCTAAAACCAGTGGCCTGGCTGTAGCCAAACTTATAGACATTCTATTTTTAAATATACTTAGACGTTTCCTTAGCTACAAGAAGAAAGTTCTAGTAAGATGAAGAACCTGACCTACTAGGGACATTAACCCTCAACTACCTTCTCTGACCTTAGGAGAGAGAAACAGAAGGTGGCAGATGATGAGAAATCTTATGTCCCATATACAAAACCTGAAGAATCACATAGAAATAGTCACACTTTCAAAATAAAATAAAGAAAGAGTCTATTAGTGAGCAAGCAGTATAACTTAAAATGTTCTCACTCTTTTAACCCAGAACAGTGATAACTAGGCAGCCATGTGTCTCCTTGTGACCTGTTCTTCCTGTTATCAGTAAAATCATTTGTTGGCATCTTGAATTAATAGAATTCATAGATCATCAGGGTCAAATTCCCCTCTATCTGTACTAGAAGGCCATAAACCCCAGTTTCTAAGTGGGCAGATGAATGGTCTCTGGAGAAAAGAAAGATAACAAAGTAGACTGATTTGGGTAAGCTGACCTGTATTCAACAGAAGGGAAACAGGGTGACCGTGGGGAAGGGAGAGGACAGAGACACCTCATAGAAATCAGAATCATTTTAACAACAGATTTCTAAAAATTTGCCCCAGTCTTTCTCTTTTGATGCAGAGAAATGACAGCAATGTGGCACTGTTGGTCTGGTAGATGAGGAGATCATAACTATTAACAGCCTAATAACGACCCACCCGAGGAGCAGCAGGGCTACAAGGTACCCCTGAAATTGCTTCTCATGTACTTTGTATGCTGTGCTGTGGGGGAAGAGTTTGGACACACCTGGATTCAAATCACAACTCTGACACTCTCTGTGCAATATTGCATAGGTTACAGTGCCTTAGTTTCCCTACTGTAAAACATGGGCAATAATACTATCTCTCTGAGTCATTGGGAAGATGGAATCTAATGCATTCCCTTGGTAATTGTAAGATGTTCAGTAAAGGCTGTTTTCTACCCTTCTAAGAGGGCAAAATTTTTTAGCAGACTGAGGATCTTTGCAAGTTCTTGAGCAGAGTTCTGATCTCTGGCTCACCATTATTAACATTTGTTAAAAGCTTCTTCTCTCTGTTAGACTTAAAGTGGTATAGCTTCAATTTACCTGTCTGTAAATCAAAGAACTTTTCTCCCCTTTCCATTTATACCCTCTAGAATCTTAGGTGTAGACTTTTTGTTAGCATTGGCTCATGGGTTACATTTCATAATTTAATGGTTTAATATCTATTACTATCAGACACTGATTTAATGCTGAAAGTATACCACATTTGGCCAGTGGCAGCCCCTAAGACTAAATATTTGAGATACTTGTGCCTTTTTTTCCAGTAGGTTAAAAGTCCTCACATGTTCCTAGAAGTTCCTTGTATTAAGATATTTTTAGACCCTTCCATTTCATGGTTGCCTTCCTCTGGATTTCCTCCAATGCATTTTTGTATACAATGGGGTATCTAGAAGGGTATGTAACTCGTAAGTGATCTGATGATGTGAATGTAGCTCCTTGATTGAGGGCTGCTATTTTCAAAGTTCTCCCTAATGTGGTGCATCATGTTTAGTAGGTGGGTCTAATGTTGGCTCATGAAAAACCTCAGTGCCTTCTGCATAGACTGCCCTTAGTTTAGGCAGATGACATAGTAACAAGAGTATAGGATTTTCTCTTGTCAAACCCCATCCCAGTATTCCAGCATTTTAAATACAATCTGTCCAGCACGTGAACTACATCTTCCAGCATTATTGAATAAACACAGTCTTCTATGGCTTCATCCAAGTTCTTGCTTTTGGGCAAGATTAAGGACACAAGACCAATATGCCCCTCTTCTTATTTCTCATTCAGGGTTTGGCATGGGGAAACCCTCTTGTCTGACTCTTCTTCAAAGTCTTGAGAGAAAGAAACTCTACTAATTTTCTCTATAGGAGAGAAGCTATAAGCTGTAAATCCTCCCTTGATAAGAAAACAGTCTGTTATTCATAACTGTGCACTAAACCCTGACAAAGCCAGGAGTGCCTCAGTACATAAATGGCATTAATAGCTTTCCCAGCATTGCTGTTGTACCATTTCTGATGAACCTGAATATTTAGGTTCTACTTAAGCCAGTCCTATGCAAAAGTATTATTTTTTAAGGAAATATTTTTTGAAGGCTTACTTTGTTGCATAGGAGTCTGAGGCCCCCTATGCTACTCTGTGCAGGACATTCTACTAGAGTCTTTTGCCTATGTGTGTATTATTGAATGATGGGGCTTTGCAACCCCAGATTAAAGATATCTAGAATTATAGAATTCTAGTCAAGTAAGCCTGAGTAGTGAAGTGGCAGAAAGAAGAATCTTGTTGTTTAATGTGTTGCCTGCCAAGTAATTTCTAGCTAATGGTAGAAAAGTGACCATATGCACAGTGATGTGCCCACTGCATATATTTAGGGTAAACATGATGGAAACATTCAATAAATGTTTATTGAATTAAACATTACAAACCCATTCTATTAGGAATACTCTTCATCCAAAAATCACTATGAGTTTCTAACATGTCCAGGCTGGCTGGAGAGAGAAAAATTGGAGTGAAGTTGAGTTGCAGGTACTATTCTCTGCAAAAATTGTAAGAGAAAGAACACTGCTGAAACATCCCAGGGCTAGTGTGCAATTTATATGAGGAACTTCAGTGTAAAGCCAATGTGACCTAAGATATAGTGTGGCTAATAATACCAATGTGCTAAAAGGAGCAGGGAATTTCCTGGAGAAGCCTGAAAATTTGAGGAGCTAACTCAACAGTTTTTAAACTCTGAATTGTCAAATTAATGTACTGGGTCATGACCGAAATTTTGCTTTATTGATTGGGAAAGGAGGCTCAGTCAGTGATGGTAAGGGCCCAAATAAGGGAAAAGTCAGAAGATTCTTAACAGTGTCACTGCTACTTTGATAACAGACTGCTACAT